GGGGGGGGGGGGGGGGGGGGGGGGGGGGGGGGGGGGGGGGGGGGGGGGGGGGGGGGGGGGGGGGGGGGGGGGGGGGGGGGGGGGGGGGGGGGGGGGGGGGGGGGGGGGGGGGGGGGGGGGGGTGTTGACCTTAAATATAGGCGCATCTGCATCCTTATTCACAGCCACAATAACCTTAGAGTCTCTGATCCCAGCCAAATGTTGAATGGCTCCTGATACACCAAAAGCCATATACAGTTCTGGTGCTACAATTTTACCAGTTTGTCCAACCTGAGAAGCAGAAGACTTGATAATCCAGGATCATGGAAGAAATTTGCATTTAAGAGAAGGCTAGGAATAAATCCAACCCATGTTATTGCACAACATATCAAGAACATTTCCCATAAAAGAAAAATTAGAAAGTAAGAAGGACAAGAGAGTGAATGGAATAAAAACATTGATCTTAGTTTTTTTTTTAATTTAATTTCTCTCCTCGAATTCTTGATGAATTCTTGATGGGCAGGGGATTCAAAATGTTCACCTTCCCTACACAGTTGGATTTCAATGAAAAACTAGTTTTTCGAATGATTTTAGATTGATCTGTATTTGTTTGTGAACTTTTAATTTTTTTTATCTAATATTGTATCAATTAATTATGAATTGTGGATAAATAAAAAAATTTAACTAACCCAAAAATAGAGGGTTGGGTCGTAAAAATTTTCGGGTTGGGTTGCGTTACCAATCAAACCAACCCAAACGTTTGGGTTGGTCCAAAAAAACCTTCAACCCAACTCAACCCCGACCATATACACCCCTGGTATCCGCTTTTAATTTGGATCAAGTAAACTTCAATGAAAAAAGTTGGATAATACTTCTTTGTAAGAAAATTTTTTCCAAAAAAAAGAAACAGATAATACTCTCAACTTGGAAGAAAGCATCCAGAAACGTTACCTGAAGATCATTGGGCACAAATCCAGCATCAACAGCAGCACGTGTGGCACCAACTAAACAAATAAAAGAATAAGAACAGATTAGCTTATAAGATTGGAGAATAAAGAAAACAACATATTCTTATTTGGTTATTAACAAAATTGAATACTTAGATACAGTAGCAAGAATTGAAAACAGTGTTATGCTAAGAGTTTTGAGATCTAATGCTTTCTGTTCTTCAGTCATTACTAGGCCGTGCGTGCCCCAAATGGCATGATATGTTTGGAAATTTAACAGTCAATATTACACAAACGGAGAAAAAAATGTAATAATTGATGATGCAGAAAGAAAAATAATTTTAATTTCAATTCAAACTGAATCTCTACCTGCAGCACCAAGCTTTGCTGCGAGCTTCTCTATCATTTTGAAGTTCTCGGCACTCTTTAAACCACGTCCTCCCGTGACAACAACACGTGCATTCGCAAGATCGGGTCGTTCTGCTTCCTGAGATGTTTGCTTTACATATCTAGATTTTCCAATAGAATCTGAAAGATTGACATCGCTCAGTCAACCTAATTGCACGTCCTAATTCTTTGAACAGAGATTAAAATGATCTAAAGTAGAAGTATGGAGGATGTTCTTTCCCATATAGGATGGAAAATTCATCAAAACTATGCTTATGGGTAATCATATAAGCAGAAGCATTCACTCTCATGATATATTTGTTATGGCTTTCTTTGAGATGGCAGGGTAGGCTATAGGCTTACCTCCACCAAATGTTGAGAGATCGACCTGAGTTATAGGGGACTTATTCGATGTCGACTCTACTGATTTCGAGGTCACTGGGAATGATGTAGATCTTATGGTCAACATACAAGGGTCAGCCCCGGTGTATCGAACTTTACAAAGCGCATTGCCAGCATATATGGGCCTATTACGAGTTCAAAATCGCATCATCAATTAAGAATGAGGTTAGCTAAAAAAATGGAGAATTTATGAAACGGCTAAGCCCACCACTAGCAAATATTGTCCGCTTTGGGCTTCCCCTCAAGATTTTTAAAATGCATATGCTAGGGAAACGTTTCCACACCCTTATAAAGAATGCTTCGTTCTCCGCCCCAACCGATGTGGAATCTCACAATAGTGGTCATCATAATCACAAACCGAAATCACCATAAAATGCACGATTGTGATTCAGAAATGTTGACATTAAAACATGGAATGGTGAAAAACAATGAGTAACAAATAAGTAGTTCCCCAAGCAGATAAACTTCTGCACCATAAACAACATCAACAGTAAGATGAACATCTGCAAAGTATATTTTCCTAATTACACAAAAGAAAAATGCTAAATACGTGAGAAAAACATTTGTCTGGACTAATGTAGAGTACACAAAACAGTTCAACACCATTGTACTCAATGATTATGAGCTAAAAAACTGGACGAACCTCACGAATTGACGAGATTCAGAGATAGCAACGACATCGGTAACAGGAGAAACATCTAAAAGAGCAGCAGCGCGTGGAAGAATGTTCTTCCCAAAGGAACCTGAAGCCGCAATTACATGAGAATATCCATTCCTCTGTTGAACCAATTGGACTAATTGAGCCCAAGGTTCTGCCAGGGGGTTTGTAAATGTATCGGAATCAGCAACAAGCACCTAAGTAACATTCAACCTCTAAGATCAGTAACAGTGTAACCACCAAGGGGAATGATCCTATTAACACTGGATCGCTCTAATCTTTGAATCAAAATAGAACAAACCAACCACCACTATACAATTCCTGATATTTGCAAAAGTTCTACGAGGTTATGCATTGAAAAACAAAAGAACATCTGAAGCAAAATATTCGGCAATCGAATTTTCCATGTAAGAAATCACAAGATACCTGAGAAATAGATGGGTGACAAGAGGCAGCATGTTCAGCAGCTTCCTGAAGCGAAGGCCCTGAGCCAGCCAACAAGACGGAAATCGAACTGTCTTTGCTCAAAGAACCGGCAGCCGCTATAGCACTAACGGAAGCGGCATTGATGGATCCGCCATCGTGTTCCGCCAAAACCAATGTGCTAGCCTGCAATTCCAGAACAGTTTTAGAAAATTTTCGAGAGTAATCGATAAAAACAATCAAGCAAGAAAAGAACATACAGATCGACAAGCGGAGGAGGAAAAGAACGGGAGTAATTGCGACGAAGACGATGGAAGAATCGATCTCTTCAAAGCAGAGAATACAGTTCTGTTGATCATGTTGATGAATCTCTCTCTCTCTCTCCGTGAGACACCAGGCGCCGGTGATACCGATGAGCGGCGGCGGAGATAATCTCTTCAACGAAGGTGTCAAAGAGCAATACGGCAGTGCTCCAGCGATTGAAACGGCGCGTCAAAAACAACCCAGTTTCAGTTGGCGCGTAGAGATATGAGCAATTAAATTATTATTTGGATTACAAAATTTACTAATTTATTTATTCTTTTTTTATCGACAGAGTTTATCCGTTAATATTTGGATTAGATTGGGCTCGTGTTATTTAGATAATTTATTTTAATTCTTTAATTATAAATAAATATTATACAAAATCTCTAAAGTATTTACTTGACGTCATATATAATTCTACGCCTTCATTAATAAAAATATTCTTTAATTTTAAATTTTATCTTAAAAATATTCATAAACTTTTAAAATTTTCTATAATACTTTAAATTAAAAAAAAATCTAAAAAATACCTTTAAATTAAAAAAAAATAATACTTTTAAAAAAAATACCCCCTTAATTTTAAAATATTTTAAAAACTTTATTAATACTCTTAATTAAAAAATAAATAAAAATAAAATATCTTTAAATTTTTTAAAAACTTTAACATTACCTTTAAATTTTAAAAAATAATAATAATAAATACTCTTAATATTAGTACCACGTTGCACAAATACTCGTAAGCTTTCAAAGCTAACATTGGTTTAGAGATATTATATAAAGTGTCAATAGACGGTTTTCGTTCATATATTAATAATATTTTTTTTATATAAAAGTAAAGGATATTAATGTTATTTTTAAAATTTTATGGTATTCTTCGGATATATTATTAAATATTTACATGGAATTAATAAAAAAAAATTAAAATTCATGAATATTAATAGTGAAGATTTTTTTTAATTAAGAGTATTTTAAAATAAAAATATATGACTATTTTTATTAATTTATTTTTAAAATTATATATTTTGACTGTGGAAATTACCACCCATCAAAATTTTATGATTTTAAATTTGTTTCGATTTTTATTTTTATTTTTATTTTTATTTTTTTAATTAATGTAATTAAGTTTCTTTATTATGATGTTTACCAAAAGGAAAAAAATGCTTTTGCCTAGGTGGCATAAAATAAATATTTATTTTCAAATATAATAGAAAAAAAAATCAAAGCTTTACAACAAAAAAAAAATATATATATATATATATATATATATATATATATATATATATATATATAGATATATATAATTAAAATTAACGAAACCGAAATATTATTTAAATACTCATGGAAAATAATACATCTTAACTATCATTTAAATACACTTGAAAAAATTACTGATATAACGCTTATTATTTAATCTCTAAAATTTCAATAGTGACTATTCACTCTAAGTTCGGTAAAATAATTATAAATAGTCTGTAATTTAATTTTAATTAAGCAGAACAGTGGATGGTGTTATACGTGTTTTTCTCTCCAATTATCCACGATCGTGAACGTGTGCTATGACCTATCAACCCCATTGATCATCGTTGACCCAATACCTCCGATCGACAATTCAACTTAGCAACCCGATCTTTTTTGGTGATATGAAAATTAAAAACTCGAACCTTAAACTACTGTGGAGGAGTACATATCAATTACCGTCAAAATATGATCAATTTGGTTGGCAATTTAAATTTAAAATTCTCAAAATTAATATTTAGCTAAATAAAGATTAGAACTCATTTTAAAATTTTAAAATTTAGAGATTAAATCGATTTAAACGCTACCAAATATAATTTGTTCCATATTTTTTAAGTAAAGATTCAAATTTATATTTTTTTTATAAGGACGTTTATTGGCCGGAGAACTTGATTAATCTAAACAACCTAACCATGATTAAGTTAGATATTCTTACGTTTGGGTTTAGTTAAATTTTTTAAAAACAAAAAATTTAAGTCAATCGGAGAGTTTATTATAAATATAATAAATATTTAACACTAATATTTAAGTTATTAACGTAATATGTATTATAAATAAATATATATATTTTTTAAATAATTAAAAAAAATACACGAAACCCAACTTAAAAATAGAAGGTTGGGTTGTCAACTTTGTTCGAGTTGCTCAAGTCACGAACTCCGATCGAGGTTTCTTCCACTCAACTTGACCCAACTCGACCCAACCGAACCTGACCCAACTCGACCCGATCGGACCCAAGCTAATTTTGCTATTTTTTTATCTTCCAAATTTAACCTTCATATGATAATTCCATATCTTCGATTGGTGTGCACTCGGGGCGAGCCAGGCGATGCCGTAGAGAGACGGTTCACTTTCTCTTTACCAAAAGGACGCAATTCCTGGACCTTCTCCTCCCTCCTTTTTACATCTTCCATTCGAGAGTGAGTCCCTGGAGAGTGGATTTTGCTTGCAGCCATGATTTCTTCCACCAAGTTCAAATCTGTGGATTTCTACAGGTCTGATAGATCTCTTTCTTCCTTTTCCACTTTGCATTTCCTGATTTCAATGCGTCTCTGTTTCTCAAACACCCAGTTCTGCGACATTTTGTGAAGTGCCATGGTTTTTTTTCCAGTTATTATTTTGTTTATGCGTTTTGTGTAATGTTGCTGGTAATCTGAAGGATCTCTTGCCAGAATGTTGTGATTAGAATTTGCGGTATTGTATATCGGCCGTGTGTGATTTTCGTTTGTTTTATGGGAGTTTTTTTTGTTTGTTTGTTTGTTAATGATTTAATTGCGAAAGTGAGGTGGCTGAATGGTGGTTTTGATGGCCTCGGTGTTTTTTTTTTTTTTTTTTTTGT